ATTTTTTAATTTTTTTTTCAATAGTATGGCAAGTTATTTTATTATTTATATCTACTTCTTGAATAATTTCAGTCTTCTGCGGTATATTTGGTATGTTATGTTTATCTTTGTTAACACAAACTGAATTGAAACTATTGTTTAAAATATTTGCTATAGATTCTCTATTTGTTACAATGTTATTATATTCATTAGACATTGAAGCTGTTCCTCCTTTAACTTTTTTGTTAGAATTTACATAACTCTAAAATAACTTGGGATTTCTTTTTGATGTTTCACTGATTTTTTTTTCATATTCAATACGTTTTAACCTCACCATGTTTTTACTAATTTACTTTGTATTTTGTATTGCTGAACCAAAATGGGTGATTTGGATTTATTTGATATTAATTTGTTCCATAAGGTTGTTTTATGTCTGATTTCAGTCTTAATTTGTTTGTCATTATATGGTTTTAAAGCTATGTGTTTATGCACTTTTTTTAGGTATATAACTGTCAGATAATTCTGACAGTTATATACCTATATAAATGATATTTATTTACAAAAATTTTGTAGCATTCATCAACGTTTTTATTAGAGAAAATATGTGACCATCTTATACTATGGAATAAATTGTTCATTTCTTGATAATTTCCGGCTTTGTAGTTAAACTTTGATTTCCCATAGGAAGATTTTGATGTTGTTGGTTTTTTTAAGATGTAATTCCAATACAATATCTGATGTGCATTATTTAAATTGCTTAACAGAGGATTATAGCCTATGATCGAAATACGCTCTGGTGCATCGGTTAAAATCAAATCTAAGGTATTGCCTTCTGACAGTGTCCCTGAATTAAAGGTTGGTTTTGTGATGTTTTGAGTCAAAAAGTTATGATTTAAATTGTCTAAAAAAATTTGTGCTTGTCTATCATTTTTTAACACTGTTTGGATATTCTCATCATTCTCATTCCATTTTATATTTGGGTAATTTAGGTCTCCGGCTAAAAGTAGACCTGAATATTTGTTGCAATCAACACTTCTTTTAGCTATATTTATTATTTTATTTATTTTTTGATTTGTCAATTCTGTAGCATCTGGTGGACGATATATGCTACCAATTAAGATATTCTCATTTTCTGTTTTAATGACACACCAGACTTGTTCAACTGTCATTTCTTCAGATGCTAGGTCATATGGAGTATAAGCAATGTATTTATTTTTAACATAAATAGCTACACCTCCGCCATGAGATTTAGTTGAATTAGATTTAGATCGATTGTTGTAAAAAACATTATACCTGCTTACATTTATGGCACTTGATGAGTTAAACCAAGTTTCAGTTACAATAAATATGTCAGGATTATACACTGCTATTTCTAACAAAAACAAATCGAACTTATTGTTAAGTGAAGTCGCATTTGTATATCTACAACATAGATGGTATTTGGGTATTGATTTGCATAATAATACTTCTGATTTAGCATAATTAGATACAGGATTATGTGTAGAAAGGACAGCCATTACTGCAGGTTGATACAAATTAATTGAGGATTGCTATTGCTTTGTTTTTTTTATGAGTTTCACAATTTTAAAATTTCTTATAGTGTAGTAGTATTCATCTTTTTGATTTAGGCTAGCATTTAACAATTTAACTTCACTACGTAGCTGTTTAATGAGATCTCTTTCGGATTCTGTCATATCTGAGTTAAAATAGATTTCATTTATCTTGTTTCTGTTAATGTATGCAGCTTTTAATACACTTATTTTGTCTAACTCAATGATAACTGGTGGTATTTTTGATGTGTCTCTTGTTTTGAGTTGAATGACTTTTTTTATTTTATCCTTGTCTGCATTTATTGAGTCAAAAATATCGTTTACCGTATCTTCATCACATTTTTTCTTGTCAATGTTATCATGATTTGCTAACTTAACACCAAAAATAATAATATTATTTTTTCTTTTATTACGTTATTTTTCCTCATGTAGAACCGTGTTTATAATATCATTTTGGCCTTGATTTGTTTTAACTTTTCTTTTACAACTTAACTCCAATTATTTAAATCTTTTGATTTATCTTGGTCTAATTTATTTTCTAATTCATTTACCCTTCCTTCAAGATTTTTTATCAAAACATCTTTCTCGTCTAGTTTTTTTTCCAATTGCTTTATTTTTTCTTGCATTTCTTGTAGTAACATATTTATGTCTGAATTTTTTGGTGGCATTTTAAGAGTGAAACCAAACCAAATCAACTCTCGTCAATACACCAACTTCAATTTCTCTGATAAGAGGGCTACCACCCTAAAACAGTGGTTACCTCTGGGTCGTGAACTTATTACACTTATTACACAGGGACTAAAAAGTTTCAGTATATGTTTTTTTCTGTCTGATATATATATATATATATATATATATATTTATATATATATATATATATATATATATATATATATATATATATTATATATATATATATATATATATATATGTGTGTGTGTGTGTGTCTGTGTGTATATATATACATGTAT